CTAGTGGCGGCGCTAGTTAACATTTTTAGAGGGAAACCATTACGCTTGTGCATCACGTTTGTCAACTGTCCAACATTTTGTTTTTTTATTAGTTACTTTGTTATATTTCTGGTCCCAACATAAGCGGTAAGTGAAAACTAGCAGGAGGAAAGCTCTGGCAAGTTTGGGCAAGAAAGAATAATTTTCGTTTTATAAATACATTAAATAAAATAAATGTTTAAATAAAGGCAATAATATAATGTTTTAATTATCCTATCCATAATCCTGAATCCTCACTTCAAAATATAATATAATGTTTTAATTATCCTATCCATATTCCTGAATCCTCACTTCAAAATATAAATTTAACGAAATTAGTTAAATGTGATGTGCCCCACGTTTTAGTTGAGTTTGACATCCCCGCTCTAGAAGGAAAGGCAGGAAACAGATACTATCTTAGAAAGAGTAGTCTTACTGGAAGATCTAGGAATCCTGGTGGCACAGCGGTTACACATTGGGCTGTAATGCACAAGGTATGCAGTTTCAAACCACCAGCCACTCCAGGGAGAAAGACAGGGTTTTCTAGCCCGGTAGAGTCACATTCTCAGGCACTCACAGTGGCAGCTGTACTTTGCTCCATAGAGGCACTACCAATCAGAATCGACTAAATGGCAATGAGGTTAGTTTGGTTTGGTCTTTTCACCGTTGGCCTATTGCGAACAAAGATTCTATTCATTTATTTCTTTTAACTACAGCTCCAGGAACATTACTGAACTGACTAAAGGTTTGCATGAAAAGTGTTAACCTGAGAATGAACAGAATGAGCCAAGTCGGAGAAATGTGATTCTCTTAACAGACATCTTTTTTAATTTGACAGATAAAGCAGAAATTAATGACATTGGATCTGAATTACAGGGACAATGTTGGTATTCTTGAATTTTCTGTTGTGCATATAGATTTGGATCAGTAAGTGGGAAAACTGGGTTTCACTTATATTTAATGTGTTTTACTTTTTTCGAAGACTGTCTTTTCTCTTTTTAAAATCTTATAATCTTGAAAGTAATCTATCTTTAATTATATTGACTTGATTTTAAATGCTATAATGGGCCTAAATGACATGACTAAACCTAAAAAAATATATACTTTCAAAAATAAATGGCGGGAATAATGAGGGCAACAAATGTATAGATGTGCTTTACACAATTGATCTATGTATTGTGATGAATTGTATGAGCCCCAATAAATTGATTTTTTTTTTTAATGTAGCAATCTGGTTCCTCATACATGGATTTGGGGCATGAATTTTATTTTTTAAAGCTATTGCATGTTGCTTAAGGGGCATTAAGTTTATGTTAATAGTGGTGAAATAATTTGGAAAAGGTTATTAATAATGGATGCACAACACAGAGTGATTCATGGGCCCTGAATTATACATGTAGCAGTTGTTGAACTGGAGAATATCTTGTTCCATATATTTTTGCAACAATTAGAAAAAAATAGTTACATGAATAACAACGAGTACAAGGAAGAAGATGTTCTAGAATTGACTGTGGTGATAATTGTACAACTCTTCTTGATATGATTTAATTACATGACATGTAGATGAAGTGCTAATAAAACTGTTTTTCAAAGATTGAAAAAAATAAAAGTAAATGGCATACATCCAAGAGTTTATAGAACCTAGGGGATAAAAATACTCAACACTTGGTTAAAATGTAAAATTGCGAACTATAAAGAAGAATGCTGCATCAGCATTAGAGGAAGGCTTATTAACAAACTGCAATATGCAGATGACACCACCTTGCTTGCTGACAGTGAGGAGGATGTGAAACACTTACTGATGAAGATCAAGGATTCTAACCTTCAGAATGGACACAACTCAATGTAAAGAAAAGCAAAATCCTCACAAACTGGACCAGTAGCTAACATCATGATAAACAGAGATCGGGTTGACATTTTCAAGGATTTCTTTGTCTTGCTTGGATGCACCAGGATAAGTATATCTATAGACAAACTGGGTTAATGGTTCCTTGGTGGTATGGTACGGATAGTTGGGAGGAAATGAAGAACTAATAACAAGGAGCACAAGAATGAAGAAAATATTCCAAAATTGATTGCAGTGATGACTGTACAACTGTTAATACAATTAAACTATGAAACTGTATACTATGTGACATATATGTCAATAAAACTTTTTTAAAAACTTACAAAATAGGGGGGAGCGGGGAGGGAGGGGAAAAATGAGGACCTAATGTCGGGGGTTTAAGTGGAGAGAAAATGTTTTGAGAATGAATGTACAAAAGCGCTTAACACAATGATGTGTGTATGGATTGTGATAAGAGTTGTATGAGCCCCTAATAATATGATTAATAAAAAAAGAGTTAGGCCTAGGGTTGGCATTAGCGATAGGGTTAGGACGAGGTTTAGGGTTAAGTTTAGGGTTAGG